GAACTTTTCCACGACATTCTAATTTATTGAGATGCACCAGTATAATGGAGTTCCTATGTCTGTGTGTTTTACAGAGAGAACAGTAGCATTTATGGAGAATGCAGATCAGATTGGAGACCTGCAAGAAACACCAGAGCCTCTAGGTTTGAATTGTGAATCTTTCTGTCGATACGTCAACGCCATTAACAATATGCCACGCAACATTGGCAAGGATGGCAAGTTCCAGCTGCTAGTTTGTCTCGGGGCGAGGTAAGGACACACACATGCTCCTTAAAGCAAACTAATTTTGCTTTTTAATAAACAATGTATTTACAGTTGTCTGTATGTGTATTCCCACTCTCACAGAGACCGACTGTTGCCGCAGTGGCTCCCTCTACTGGCCGAATGCCCCATCATCACACGCATGTATGAGGAGAACGCGTTACTGCGAGACAAACTCACAGTCAGCTCTCTCATCGCAGTTCTGGAAACGCTCCATGACTTCCCCATCACACTGGAGAGCTCTCTAACTAAAAGCGTTGAGCTGTAACTCCACATGCTGAGGTCAAATTCAGACTGCTCCCCTTCTCTGCTGCCACCCCCAGGGCCAAAGCGGCTCTACAAATACTCTGCCTTGTGTGTTCTCTGACCAGGGAAGGACTGAGGACTTATCGAAGCATCTCAAACGACTGCTCCCCCAAAGAAATGAACTCAGAAGTGTGTTTTGTAGCAGTATTTGGAGTTGTGCTCTTTCTAATTGAAAGCGTTGATGGATTTTTTTGAGTAGACAAACTGTTTTCCTGTGGATTTTGCTTTCAAACATGTGGTCATTTCCTCGCACATCTGTCTGCGAGTCGAATCCGCTAACGTTTCTGCTTCAGATCATGTGCAGTGCTTTAGAAAGCACTGTTTTTTGCAAAGTATGTCAGGATACAGAGGAGCCTTAGTACTGATAGATTACACGTTCAATAACCATCATTTGACAGGCAAAAAACTATTATACTTGAGGAATTCAGGCATGAAGTGTTTATAATGACTTGAATTTTATGTTTGGGTGTTTAAAACGATGCTATCGGTGTTCTGATTGGCTGTTAGTTTGGAAAAGAGATTCTTGATATTGGATAGTCTGAAATTGAAGATGTCAATTTGAAACATTCTCCTGGTTAAAAGCCTGTCAAATGAATTTTCAGAGAAAAAGGACATTCCAACAAGATGTGAATGTTGTATGTTACAAAGATATGTTTATATGCGTGATAGGAATGTGCGTGTGTGTGGGGCTTAACATTTGGGAAGATGTTTATTTTGCCAATGAGTATTAACTTCATTCTTAGATACTTCAGCATCATGTTTGAGTTTTTTATTTTTAAGAAAGAAACACTGGAAATCATCGTAAAGCAATAACAAGCCTGTTTCAGATAGTTTTTTTGTTATTAAACTTAGTCACAGTTAAAATCTCTCAAATATGAATTATTACAATTGTGGGGTGCTTTAAATATAAAGTTGTAAACCCTAGTATTTACCACTAATTGAAGGTCTAAATGCAGCAATTATTTTGTAAATCCATGTTTGATTACTGCAGTACTTGCACATTACTTAGAAATGAATAAGTATTGTCCTTAAACCACCCTTTATGTTTGTTCTTTTATGCATCAGTTTTAATCCGGAATCCCTGCTGAGAGAAATCAAGTAGTAATTACATATAAATTACAAATGCTATAGGATGAATAACAGCTTTGAATCTCTTCATTTTACTTAAGTTTAGGTTTTTAAGACTCTCAGCATTTAATCTAAGAGCTGTGTAGCACGTCGACCTGTTTATTTTCTTTCTTTCTTTTTATAATGACTCCGATCATTTGTATGTATTTATTTTCGAATGATGCTTTTGTGACACTGGTTGATTTTGGATTGACGCAATCTTGGGGTGATTTATGCAGTATGCTGACACTGTATCATTTATTTATTTTAGTAAATCTACTTTCAGGCTTTGTATAGTATGGAACGTCCATCTTGTGTAAAAGTTGACTATTTTTGGGCCCCAAAAGTTGCTAAAAACCCAGAGAATCTTTTCGCTGGGGGGATGAGGAAGCTGCAGCTACTGTCCCTTTGTTTGCGGTGCTGATGCATGCCACATATTTTAGATCTTGGAGAAGTACTGTTGCTGTAAATGAATTAGTTCCTCTTCTAGATCTTGCCTCATTCCGTCTGTTTTTT